TTCTACGCATTGTACGCGTAATTTTTTTGACAAATTAAAGCTGCATCAGTGACGTATTTTTAACAAATAAACGTCCGACTAATTAGGTATAACTGCAAGTTATTGTTTCCCGAACGAAACCATGTTTACAATTAAATCGTACAACACTCTTTCTCGACATAATTAACATATCAACCTGTTTGTTCTTAATTATTCTACTTCTTAAGTGCTAATAGCTTACGGTCTCTTAAAAATAATTCCGCAGTTTTTCGATATCAATAAATAAAAATTTCGTGTACCGTACTGTTCTAATGTTCTTAACACAGTTTATTCGTGATCACGTGTAAATCATGATAAGTACAATTTATATATCGATATTAGCATAATACCGGATATAAACTATCACGAATTGCTTGGTTGCTGCAAAAACAATGTCCAATTTGAAATGGCAGCTTCGAAACGCCGTACGGCATTTAAGTAAATAAATGTTAAATAAACTTCATTTAAATAAACGTTAGAAAAGTTATTTCATTAGAAAAATTACTTAAAAAATACACACAGCAATACGTATAAACAATCGAAAATACAAAATTTATTTGTAGAACGCAAAGAGCAGTGAGAAAAGAAACCAAAACGCGCGAGAGATTTCGGCCATTATTTCTTAACCAACCTGATAAGAACTTTCACGTACTATAGTAAGCAAAAATACATATTTGTTCAACAATTTTCGGAGAATATAGGATGTCTTAGAACTGTCGTTACACCTGCCAAAGGATGATTCCCGAGGAGATTTTAAGGAACTTTTTCTTAGCAAAAATATCGATTGCGGCTTCGTTAATGAATTATCCACGAATAACACGAAACAATCGGAAAGCGAGTAGAATTAGGTAGCTTAGGAATCACTCTTTTCCAGGTGTAACGGAAGTTCTGGAACACCCTGTGTACTTTAAAATACATATGTAATATATTGACAGATTAATTATGCAAATAACGCTTATATGTGCCGAACCGACGCGTTTATTAGTGTAATATTGACAATTTCGCAAGGAGCGTTAACCATATTTAACAACCACCGGATGTTCGATATAGCATAATTCCGATCTTAATCTGCAGGTGTGATATGATCGTTCTACTTCGTGACTAATATTGTTTTATGTAAATATCTATAACATGAAACAAGATTTACTAGTCGACAACATTTAATTTCTATCGAGTTATCAGTCTGCTGTATTAATTCTGTTCAGATATTTGATTTTCAATTACCTTACTGTTTTCCATATTTTGTCATTTTCTCTTCCTTTCTTATCTTACATTGATTTTTATGTTTTCTTTCTCATCTATTTTTCCCGGTTACGGATTTAATATAATTACTAGACCGCGGATCTTCGTGCATTTATGGAATTTATCAAAATTGACTAAATTAATTGTATAGGACGCGTAAGTTACATGAAAACTTTCCTCTTTTAACAATTGCAATAAATTGAAAATAGTAGTAGACTCACAATTATATAAATGTATAAATATAATATA